TCCTCCCGCCTCAGCCTTCCAAGTAGCTGGAACTACAGGTGCGTGCTACCACACCCGGCTAATTTTTTGATTTATTACAGAGATGAGGTCTCACCAAATTGCCCAGGTGGGTCGCGAACCCACGGGCTCAGGCAATCCACTCCCAAGGTGCGGGATTACAGCCTGAGTCACCGAGCCCGGCACCATTGCTTTTGCCTAAGTTTATTTCATAGTTTCTAGCTCTTTTTAAAAAGTGAAATGGCTGAGTGCACTGGCTCATGCATGTAATCCCAGCACTTTGAGAGGCTGAGGCAGGAGGATCGCTTGAACCGGGAGTTTGAGACCAGCCTGGGCAACATAAGCAAGACACTGTCTCTATAAAAGAATACAAAAATTAGCTGGGCAGGGTAGTACATGTTTGTAATCTCTGCTACTCAGGAGGTTGAAGCAGGAGGATCGCTTGAGCCCAGGAGTTTGAGGTTGTACTGAGCTATGATGGAGCCACTGCTTTCCAGCCTGGCAGCCTGGGCCACAGAGTAAGACTGTGTCTCAAAAACAAAACAAAAACAAAAAACAGCTGGGCACAGTGGCTCCCACCTGTAATCCCAGCACTTTGGGAGGCAGAGGCAAGAGGATTGCCTGAGCCCGGGAATTCGAGCCCAGCCTGGGCAGCTTGGTGAGATCTCGTCTCTACAATAAATAAAAAAATTAGCCAAACGTGGTGATGCATGCCTGTGGTTCCAGCTACATGGAAAGTTGAGGCAGAAGAATTGCCCGAGTCCAGCAGTTCGAGAATGCGGTGGCCGTGAACCCGCCATTGCAGTCCAGCCTGGGCGACAGTGAGATTCTCACTCAAAAAACAGTGACAAAAAATAAAAACAAAAAGTGAAATGTATTTTTTTCTTTTTCTCTTTGAGCATCCAAACATACTTAAAGTCTTTCAACAGGCCATCCCATAAAATTAATTTTATCTGGGATGAATTTGTTTTGATATTGTTTGTAGTCTTCCTTAGAATTAAATTTGGAATTTTGATTTTCAGGTTCATTTTAATGTTTTTACCCTTCCTGATTTTCTCCCCACATAATATACAGCTGGCTCATAGCAGTTGGCGCCATCCAGCTCTCCATCCCTCGGGCTATTATTCTAGAAGTAGGTCCATTGACCTTTCAGGGCTCCTGTCCAACAGAGATTTGGTGACATCACAGAACCAGATGGCAAGTCAGCAAGAGGAGAGTGTCACCTGTTGCGAGGTGGGCTCAGCATTCCCCCCTTTTCTGGGCCTGTGGCTTAACCATCTCACCTCCAGCATGGCGTGGGTGCAGCTGCAGCCAGTTCACCCCCTGCGGGAGGCCCGCCCACAGTTCTGGCCTTGCTTGCAGTGCTGAGTGCCCTTAGCCCCTGACTCCACAGGGTCTGACACCCCAGAGCTGGTTCTGTGTCTGGAATGGAGCCCAATGAGCTTCTGGTGCAGCCCTGCTCACCCTGGGGCATCTGTGTTCCGTTGCTAGTCCATGGAAGTATTTACCTTGTTAAATCAGATGGTGTGTTTTCTATTTCCTACTTTTCCATTTTCTGTGTCACTGCTATACTCAGGTCACAGCAGGTGGTGAGGTCTGAGCCAACCTGTGGTCCTGTCTCTCTCCAGCAGCTTCTCTCTCCTCTCTCTCCTTCCCATGCTGCCTTATCTCTCTTTAGAGCACCTACCTCCCCAGTTCCCGGCATCCTGCTTTAACAAACCCTCACTCCCCAGTCAGGGCTCACACCACCCACCCCCCCCCACACACCTGCAGCCTTTCCTGTATCACCTTCCCCTCATGGACACTCCACCATGCACTTGAACTCACACATCCATGGTTCTTGCACATTCGCTCGGTGGCCATGACTCTGGTCCAGACACCCAAATCTCTGCCACACACTCGCATCATGTGGGACCAGAATTGCTCAAATGAATAGGACAAAACCATGACATTTTAAGACCTATGAGAACTTAGAAAAAAAACATCCTGCCCAAGAATTGCCTCTACAATAAATATGGGTACTTTTTTTTTTTTATAGTACTGAGATGACACAGCTTTTCCAGCTATGATATGAAATCCAGATTTCTTCAAATAACAGTGAATTCTGGGCAGCCCCCTTTGGGTCCTCTCCCACTGTGGGAGCTTTTCTGTTTAATAAATCAATCCTGGGGGGAAAAAAATTCTAACAACAAAATTAAAACTTTGTGGAGCATTAAAAAAAAAGTTTTAGCCAGGCTAGGTGGCTTAGCCTGTAATCCCGCGCCTTTGGGAGGCTGAGGTGAGTGGATTGCCTGAGCCCGCGGGTTCGAGACCTGCCTGGGGAGCGAGACTTCATCTCTACAATAAATCAAAAAATCAGCTGGGCATGGTAGCGCATGCCTGTAATTCCGGCTACTTGGAAGGCTGAGGCGGAAGTATCGCCGGAGCCCAGCAGGTCGAGGCTTCCGTGGCCGGGAGCGGCCACTGCACTCCAGTCTGGGCGACAGAGTGAGACTCCAACTCAAAAAATTTTAAAAATTAAAAAAAAAGTTTTTAAGGACAAACCAGAAAAATGGCCACCATTCAAATCAAAGTCTAACTTCCCTAATATACAAGTTAATAAAAATCACTGAGGAGTGACAATCCAATAATAAAATGGTGAGACAAGAATGGGCAGCTCCCCGAAAAAGAAAATGCAAATCTCCAGTAAACTGAACATTTGCCAAGCCTTGCCAAATAAAAATTTTAAAATGGCATAATCTGATTTTGCTATTTAGACTGGCAGTTTCAAAAACTGATGGAATACTGGCAAATAGTGGACATTAGGTAACTGGACAGGCTTAATTGACAATGTATTAAACATTTTAATGTCCATACTCTCTGACCCAACAACTCTACTCCCAGGAATATATCCTAGAGCAGTTCTTACCGGGGCTCAATGCTGGAAACAAAGATGTTTCCTGTAATACTGTGGGTAACAGCCACATGCTGGAAATCCCCCATGCCTGTCACTTGAGGAACCAGGAAATAAATGCTGGGACAGCACACACTGGAATGACAGCCAGTTTCCAGAATGAGAAAGATCTGTGTGCTGGACATGTCAAGTTGTCCCAGATAAGCTCATCAGTGAAAAAGCAGGTCACACAACACCGTGGGTAGAACAACTGTGCTTCTGTAAAAGAAATGTGGGGCCAGGCACAGTGGTTCACACCTGCACTCCCAGCACTTTGGGAGGTCCAGGCAGAAGGACTGCTCAGTTTGAGACCAGCATGGGCAACATAGTGAGACCCTGACTCTACAAAAAAAAAATTAAAACATTACCCAGGTATGGTGGCACACACCTATAGTTCCAGCTGCTTGGGAGGCTGAGGTGGAAAGATCATCTGAGCTCAGGAAGTCAAGGCTATGTTGAGCCATGATCATGCTACTACACTCAGCCTGGGCAACAGAGTGAGATCCCCAACTCAAAAAAATAAAATAAGCCAGGTTCGTGGCTCAGCCTGTAATCCCGCACCTTTGGGAGGCTGAGGTGAGTGGACTGCCTGAGCCAGCGGGTTTGAGACCCGCCTGGGCAACTTGGCGAGACCTCATCTCTACAATAAAATCAAAAAATCAGACAGGCATGGTAGCACATGCCTGTAATTCCGGCTACTTGGAAGGCTGAGGCGGAAGGATCACCGGAGCCCAGCAGGTCGAGGCTGCGGTGGCCGGAAGCGGCCACTGCACTCCAGTCTGGGCGACCGAGTGAGACTCCAACTCAAAAAAATTAAAATTAAAATAAAATAAAATAAATGTGGTTTGGTTTATGCAAAGAGAAGGCAATATGGTAAAATGTTGGCTAAGCTGTCAGCAATGGTGGGATCTCAGAGAGGTGGAGACAGAGGGCACTCTTGCTTCATATATACGCACACATTTTTTTAATGAGTATGTGTTAGTCTAATAAGCAGAAAAATACAAGTAAAAACAAACCGTGATTAGTCCAGCGTTTCTCATAATTACTTTCAAATGCCTTAGCATAATGAATGATGTGCATGGCTATAATTTGTCCATCCTCCGAAGTCCACTATTATGGATGAACAGCATAGTCAGAGTTTTCACTTGGTCACAACTTCATTCCAAATTGCTGATCAGCTCCAGGCACAATTTGACACCCCAGGGATGAGGCCCAATTAACTAAGCCAGGTGTGTGCTCAGAAAACCACCTGCCTCCTGGCTGCCACACCTGAGTACCAGGGGACTGAGCAGATGGAGCAGCTAAAAGAAGGAGAAGGCAGGCCCAGACCTCGAAGGATTCCTCCGCCCTAGCCCACCCAGGCTCTCTCAAGGGGCTGGGATTCATTGATTTCCACATTTTCTCCTCAAATCTGAATGTTACAAAAATAACCCAGATGCACATCAGGAAGAAACATTTTCTTCTGCCAAGAAAATGGAGGTGAAAGGGACGAGCCGGAATGGACCTAGATTTCAAGAGAAGGCAGAAGGCTCCAGGACAGGAGAAGCATTCGAGGCAGAGAGGGAGGGCAGCTCCCAGCCTCTATGATAACCTCCCTGCATCCACGGCAGCATGGCTTGCACTGGGTCCTGCCTGGCCTCTTCCACATGATCTCTACATCTACCATTTCTTCAGGGACTAGGGGCTAGGTCCAACATGCCTAGCTAAAATCAGGCAGGGAGTCCTGGGGCCAGCAATTCCCAAAAATGATGAGATTATTATAAAGTTGGGAGAAACTGTGGCTTTAAAAAAGGGGGGAAAAGGACTAAATTTTCCAAAATGAAAAATTTCCTTCAAATTCCCCTCATCATTTGCACAAATTTTTGTCAAGTCCAAACATAATTTGAAATGAGGTAGGTAGTTTCTTTCTACTCGTGCCGTTGTCTCTGTGGTGACTGTCGAGGCCTGTGCCGTGAAAGCACTAGTTTCCCATCGGGAGCAGCACCAGGGTGGGCACCGGTGACTGGCTGGCTTCTCAGTTGGCTATTTTCTCAATCTCATCCAAATCATCCGTGTCCAATCTTTCTATCTTCTTATCTGGGGGAAAAAAATACATAGGTCTCTGCCCCACCTAGGAACCCACCACGCCTCAGGCAGTGACCATTCATTTAGCCCCGAGGGCTTGCAGTGCCTGAGCAGGGGGCAACAGGGCCCCGTCACCGACAGCAACAGTAAGGGCGCCAGGCCCCCAAGCCCAGCCACGGGGAACTGTCATCCGCGTCGCCTGGCCCTGGACTCTCCAGGTGTGCTCCCTGAGAACGTCCGTATAACAGGAGGGGAGTGGGCACAGGTGAACAGAGGCCTCTCTCAGGGCTACAGGAGAACCTACCCTCCATCCCCTCCCTCTCCCTGTGAATTCCTCCTGCTGAGGAAAGGGTGTCGGGCAGAAGAACCTCCCTGGGACTCACTAAAATGCTCCTGGATTCTGTTCAGGATGTTCATGCTGTGCTTGCTGTCAACCATGTTTACGGCCAGGCCCCTCTTGCCAAAGCGGCCGGTGCGCCCGATGCGGTGCAAGTAGGTCTCGTTGTCCGGGTTCCCGTCCTTGTCCACGGGAAGGTCAAAGTTGATGACGACGGACACTTGTTCGACATCGATGCCTGCATGAGGGGGAGGCGGAGACGGGGACCAGTGAGTGTGCAGGCAAAAATTGTCACTGCTGCTCAGTGGGGGTCAAAGCATACCAACTTCTGGTGGAGAGGAAGAATCGGGGCAGGCCAGCTCTGGGAACCGGCTTCAGGAGGGGCACAGACAGGCATGCAGCAGAACCCACAGAATCCGCAAGAAGGCCTCAGGGAGACACGAGTATCTGGAGACGGGTGCCCCTAGAGGAGCAGGCTCTGTTGTCTCCCAGTCACATGCCTGCCCTCTCCTTTCCCAAGTCAGGACTCCTGGCTCCTGGGAGAGTTCTCGTCACCCGAGGAAAATCCAAACAGTCTCTGCCAGAAAGGACCGTCACCACCAAGCCCACACATCCTTGAGACCATCTGAGTTTCCCGTATCTGAGGACTTCTCTTGCCAATGGGGCCTGGGACTGGGTGGGACACCGTCTCTGCTCACCGCGAGCACACACGTTGGTGGTCACCAGAACCTTCTCTTTGCCCTCTCGGAAGCGCTCAATCACCGCAGCCCTCTGCTCCACCATCATTTCGCCACTCAGCAGAGCCACCTGGTGGCCTTCTTTGGAGAGCTCTGCTGCCAGCCAGCTAGCTGTTTTGCGGGTCTGCAAGTGAAAAGAATTGTTTTACATGAAGAGACCTGTAAAAAACAAAATGAAGACACCTGCAAAAATGTGGCTTGTTGCTATTAAAATACGTGAAGGCAGCCGGGCTCGGTGGCTCACGTCGGTGATTCCAGCACTTTGGGAGGCTGAAGTGAGAGGATTGCCTGAGCCTCTACAATAAATCAAAAAATTAGCTGCGTGTGGTGGCACATGCTTGTAGTTCCGGTTACTTGGAAGGCAGGTGCCACCATGGTCAGTTAATTTTAATAAAATATGTGAAGACACTGAACTCGGTCAGCAGGTTAGGTTTAAAATTCTCAAATAGAGTATTGTGGCATGTGCCTATAATCAAATTACTTGGGAGGCTCAGGTGGGAGGATTGCTTGAGCCCAGGAATTCGAGGCTGACCAATGTAGTGAGAACTCATCTAAAAAAATGATTTTAAAAAAACAGTATTTTAACCACATGATAAAAAAAATAAGTTAATGTAACTAGCCAGATGGAGGGGCTAATGCCTGTAATCTCAACACTTTGGGAGGCAGAGGCCAGAAGATTGCCTGAGCCCAGGGGTTCAAGATGAGCCTGGGCAACATGGCGAGACCTGGTCTCCACAATCAAAAAAAAAAAAAAAATCAGTTAGGTGTGGTGTCATGTGCCTGCAGTTTCAGCTACTTGGAAGGTGAGGTGGAAGGATCACTTGAGTCCAGCAGGATGAGGCTGTGGTGGCTGTGAGTGTGCCACTGCACCCTAGCATGGGCAACAGTGAGACTCTGACTCAAAAGACAGAGTGTGGTTTTATCCAAAGCTCTTCACTCCTAAATAGTCTATATTCTTGTTGGCACAGTGGCACACACCTGTAATCTCAGAACTTTGGGCAGCTGAGACAGGGGGATGACTTGAGGCCAGCAATGTGAGGCCAGCTTGGATAATACAGTTAGACCTAGCTGCTACAAAAATAAAAAAATTTGGCCAGGTGCAGTGGCTCACACCTATATTCCCAGCACTTTGGAAGGTCAAGGTGAGAGGATTGCCTGAGTTCACGGGTTTGAGACCAGCCTGGGCAACTTGGTGAGACCTCATCTCTACAGTAAATCAAGAAAAATTAGCCAGGTGCGGTGGTTTGATCCTATAGTTCCAACTTGGAAAGGTTGAAGCGGAAGGATCACCTGAGCCCAGCAGACTGAGGCTGCGGTGGCCGTGAGCATGCCACTGCACTCCAGCCTAGGCGACAGAGTGAGACTTGGACTCAAAAAAAAGGAAAAAAGTTAACTGTGAGAGTGCATGGTGGCACATGCCCATAGCCCTAGCACCTTGGACCTAGCACCTAGCACCAAGCCCAGCTTTCTTTTTTTTTTTTTTTAATTATAAAATATACTTTAGCTGGGCTCGGTGGCTCAGCTTGTAATCCCGCGCCTTTGGGAGGCTGAGGTGAGTGGATTGCCTGTGCCCGCGGGTTCGAGACCCACCTGGGCAACTTGGCGAGACCTCATCTCTACAATAAATCAAAAATTAGCCGGGCATGGTAGCGCGTGCCTGTAGTTCCACTTGGAAGGCTGAGGCAGAAGGATCGCCAGAGCCCAGCAGTTCGAGGCTGTGGTGGCCGGGAGCGGCCACTGTACTCCAGTCTGGGTGACAGTGAGACTCCAATTCAAAAAATAAACATAAAAAAAATGAAATATAGTTTATTTAAAAGAAAATTAGAGGAAGAGAGAAAGAGAAGAGTCAACTCCCCAAGGTGGGGGAGGGGGCCATAGTCAGAAAGCATGGCGATAGCTATAGCTCAAAGAACACGTGGCCACACCAGAGTCTAGCAAGGCAATGGCCAATTATTTCACTGAATGTTACATGGGTTTTTCCCCAAATATCTCTAAGAAGCGGGATCAAAGTCTCCCCCTTATAACCCATTACACAACCTGAGGAGAACATGCCTGGGCGGGTGGAAGTGATTAACCACTTCCTTTTCATTTCACCCAGTGGCAGTCTGGTCCTCCTCAGCACTGGGGGGCGCTGGCTGGGTTGGGGGGCAACCCCGGCAGCCCTGCTGTGGCTGCTGCTGGTGCTACTCACATGGCAGAAGATCATGGCTTGAGCAATGGTGATGGCCCCGTAGAGGTTACACAAGGCCTGGAACTTCTCGTCTCTGCTGCTGCACAGGACGTAGTACTGCTTGATGGTGTCCAAGGTCTCCTCCTCACGTTTCAGTTTGATAATGTTCGGCTCCGGGACCACTTTCTGGGCAAACTTCCACACAGAGTCTTCGAAGGTGGCAGAGAAAAGCAGCATCTGGCAGTTCCTGGGCAGCATCCTGCAAGGTAAGGCCCAGGCACATGGCACGAACCCGAGGTTTCACCAGGGGTAGCACAGCCTTCCAGCGTAGACGGTCCAGATCCCCAGGAAGGCTGAGGGGGCTTCAGAGGGAGGAGGCAGAGAGGAGCATCTTGGTGAGGAGGGAGCACCCGGGTGGGGTGAGAGTCCCGAGGTCTCCTTTCTCAACCTAGGCTTGGAGGGAGTATGGTCAGTGTGGACACGGAAATGGCCCATCAAACAGATCTGCGGGAAAGCATGAGTAAAGAGCCTGATGGAAGCAAGAGGCATCTGAAGTCAAGGGAGAAGATGTTGCAGGTCAGGAGGCTGGGAAGTGCCTCCCTGCTTGGATTCCTACCTCTGGATGCGGATGCTCTGATCCTGGTGACCCTGGGTTGCTATCATCACATCAGCCTCATCCAGAACGAATACCTTGATCTTCTTGGGGTCAATGAACCTGAGCTTGGAGCACCAATCCAGGACGGTCCCAGGGGTGCCAATGACGATCTGCTCACTGATCTTCTGACCTCTTTCCACTGTGGAGACCCGAGATGTTTTCTGTGGGTATTTCAATGGCAAAGCCAGCTCTCCTCTCTGAGAAATCTAAAGCTATTATGTACTTCAATGCAAATGTTTTACTATTTGTACTAATATATAATGAAAATTTAGGATATCACTACAGTATTTAACAGAGACAAAAACAGATAAAAATGCTGAAAAGATATAGTAAGGATATAATCAACGAGAAGATAAAACTTCTTTAGTAGCATATTTTTAAATTCTCTATCATCATCCAATTCTCTCTGAAGTATCTGGTATCTTTTTCTCTCTCAATACCATTTCACTTACATCAAGATTCCTACCTAGGTCAGGACCGTATTTCCCCACAAATTGAATTTTTCAAAGTTTTTATCTTTCCAATGCATTTTGCCCCCTCCGCTATCCTGGCATCTATTTCAAATATATCAGTTGTCTTTAAAATCATCCTGCCCAAGTCAGTAATTAGAGTACTACAACAATTATGAAAAACTTTATCTTTTGGAAGAAAAACAAACCGTCTTAAAAAATTTACTTCTTAGACTAGGCCAGACAGACAACGGCATGCTCTCAGCCCTGTGCAGTCTGAAACTGAGAATAATTTGGCTCTTCTTTTTTATTTTTATTTTTCAGAGACAGAGTCTCATTATGTTGCCCAGGCTGGACTCAAACTCCTCGACTTGAGAGCTCTTCCCACCTCAGCCTCCTGAGTAGCTGGGATTACAGAGGCTTGCCACGGTTCCCAGTTTTGGCCTTTCCTTTTGAATCAGATGGGACTTAGTGATTTGCTTATTAGTCCCTTAAGAATTATAACCTTAGGCCGGGCATGGTGGCTCATACCTATAATCCCAGCACTTTAGGAGGTCGAGGTGAGAGAACTACCTGAGCCCACGGGTTCAAGACCAGCCTGGGCAACTTGGCGGGACCTCATCTCTACAATAAATCAAAAAACTATCCAGGTGTGATGGTGCATGCCTGTAGTTCCACCTACTTCTAAGGCTGAGGCAAAAGGATCACCTGAGCCCAGCAGGTCGAGGCTGCAGTGGCTGGGAGCTTGACACTGCCCTCCAGACTGGGCAACAGAGTAAGACTCCAACTCAAAAAAAAAAAAAAGAATTATAACCTTGACCATTGCTTGTTAAACTCTGATGTGTCCACACTGCTCTTTGAGCTATGGCTGCCATGTTTCCTAGCTTTGATCCCCTCCCCTACCTTGGGAAGGTGAATCTCCTCTCTCTCCAATTTGCTTTTTAAATAAACTAGTTTCCAATCTAAAAAGAAAAAAAAATAAGAATTATAACTTTGACCACCGGAGGACTGCTTGAGACCAGCAGTTACAGACCAGCTCAAGTAACATAGTAAAACCCTGTCCCTACAAAAAAAACAAAAAACAAAAACCAGGTATAATGGTACGTGCCTGTAATAGCAGCTACTTGGGAGGCTGAGGCACAAGATCACCTAAGCTCAGGAGTTCAAGGCTGCAGTGAGCTGTGATCGTGCCACTACACTTCAGCCTGAGTGACAGAGTGAGTCCTCAACTAAAAATACCAAATAAATTTTAAAAAAGAATTATAACCTTGATCACACACATACAAGCTCCCTTTAGTGACAGACAAAATTTTGCTCAAATGTGAATGTTGAGTCAATTCAAAGCTATCAAGAATGCTGCTTCCGATTTCAGTTAAACAAACCAATTACTGCTCCCCACAAAAAAATTATTCATAATTCTCTGCCCTTCTAACTCAAATCCAAATTGCAAAAAATTTTTTTGAGTTGGAGTCTCACTCTGTCACCCAGGCTGGAGTGCAATGGCACACTGCTCATGGCCACCACAGCCTTGACCTGCTGGGCTCAGGCGATCCTTCCACCTCAGCCTTCCAAGTAGCTTGGAACTACAGGCATGCGCCACAACACCCAGCTAATTTTTTGATTTACTGTAGAGATGTGGTCTTGCCATGTTGCCCAGGCTGGTCTTGAACCCACAGGCTCAGGCAATCCTCTCACCTCTACCTCCCAAAGTGCTGGGATTGCAGGCATGAGCCACCGTGCCCGGCAAATTGCAAAATTTGAAATGTCTTATGATTATCTTTCAATACGTTTCATTATCTTACTTATCTTTTTTTTTTTTTTTTTTTTTTTTTTTTTGAGTCGGAGTCTTATGCTGTTGCCCAGGCTGGAATGCACTGGAACAATCACTGTAGCCTCAAACTTCTGAGCTCAAGTGATCCTTCCATCTCAGCCTTCTGAGTAGCTGGGAGTACAGGCACATTCCACCATGCCTGGCTGATTTTTTTGTAGAGACAAGGTTTTGCTATGTTTCTAGCCTGGTCTCGATTTCCTTGGCTCAAGTGATCCTCTTGTCTCGGTCTCCCAAATGCTGGGATTACAGATGTGAGCCACCGTACCTAGCCTTATTTTACTTTTCTCTTTAGAACTGACCTCAAGTTGTCATTAGGGAATTTTATATATATTAGTTTCTGTGAGTTATATAAGTCATGTTTATTTCAAACATCCAAAAAACTCAAACTTCCAGCAACTTTGAAATTTACTTAATGTTAGTTATAAAACTATTATAGAAAAAAATGAAGAAAAAGAATGATAAAATAAGCCTCCAGAATCAATAGCCATGAGCATTACAAGTTTTTTTCTTCTAATGAAGATAAGGAAATTAGGCAATTAAATATATCTAGAATGTAGAATATTTTATAAGCAACTGGTCTGGTCTGCCCCAAAAATCAAATTTTATAAGGTGAGGAAGAAGGTAGGCAAACAATTCTATATCAAAAGAAACAAAGAGGTACAATAAGCAAATGCAATGCACAGACACTGATTCAATCTTGGATCAAAAATAAAATGACTATAACAAAACACTTTGGGGACAAATGGAAAAGAATGAAAATGAACTGGATATTAGTTATTCTATGAAATCTGTTAATTTTCTTAGCTGTGATGAGGGTATCACAGGCATACCAGAGAATGTCCTTATGAGATAACATGTTAAAGTGTTTAGGGATAAAGAATCACAATGTCTGCAATTTACTTTCAAGTCGTTCAACAAAAATACACACATACATATACAGATAAGGCAAATAAGGCAAAATGTTAAGTTTTTAAATTTAGGTAGAGAGCATACATGTGTTCATTGTATTATTTCAACTCCTGCCTGAGTGTGTTTTGAAAATTTTCAAAATAAAAAGAATTAGGTTAATGATTAAGGATCACATATTCATACTCACATTTATTGCCTCGAACTGCATAAGCTAGCTTCAATTCAGGATAAAATTTGCCCATCTGTTCAATCACTTTTCCTGTTTGAAGGGCGAGCTCATATGTTGGGGAGAGGCACAGACACTGTAGGGAAAGATTATGGAATGAGAATTCATAACAACAAATCTTTTACAAAGGGGAATTACCATTAGGACCTTGTTATCCCTTCAACAGAAGCTGAAGGAAAGAATAAGTAAATTAAAATGTAAACGATTTGATTCTCTAAAATGCAGGATCATAAGCTAGAATTCCTAGGGGTCAGAACTCAGGCTAGGTAAAGATACTTGAAAACAGCTATTGGCCACTAGAGTACAAAACCCCACCCATGAGCAAGGATCTGAAATTCCAATTGGAGATTAGCTTCCTTTTCACTTACTCAGAAAGTTCTCAGAACTTTCTAATGGGTGACAGTTGCAGATGAAGGAGTTTTTCCTGCAAGCAGAAGAGCCAAGACTGTCAAGGGTATCCTAGAACTGGCAAACAGGATTTTTACAGCCAAGGAAGAATCAACTATATTGTTTGTGCTCAACTTAAGGAATTTTAGTTTGAGTAAAATGTAATACACAGTTTGACTTTTTATCCATCAAATGAAACTCCCCACTCTAGGCATTAGTAGAGAACCCACATCCGTCAAGTCCTTACCTGGGGGTATTTGTTTGCAGGTTCTACTTGGCTGAGCATGGCCAGCACGAAGGCAGCTGTTTTACCAGTACCAGACTGAGACTGGGCAATTAAGTTCTGAGGGCTGTACAAGAAGATAATCTGTTAAGGAGCCTAAATCTCAAGTAATCTTTCAGCTAATAAAGAATAAAGCTTAAAAAAAAGACTATTAAAAATTTATTTATACAAGGAGACCCTAGATTCTGCAACAGAGTTACATATGCTAGCTTCCCAAGTATAGAGCACTACAAAGATGATCTGAAGCACTCCACCTCTTCCATCTATTCTCTACACAAATTCTATTAAAATGTGAGTCTGCTCACATCACCTTTGTGCTAAAAAACCTTCCAGTTATTCCTCATTTCACTCAAAGTACAAGTTAAAATCTTTACAATGGCATACAGGTCTTACCTGACCTGGCTCCCCATTATGCCCCAGCTCTCATTTCCTACTATTCACTCTCTCCCTGCTCACCTCACCCCACCACAACGGCCCACATGCCAGCCATGTTCTTGTCTTAGGGCTTCTGCACTGGCTGTATGCTGCATGGGACAACTGTTACCAGATAACAATATGCAAACTCTCCTCTCCTTCAGGTCTTCACCTGATATCACCTACTTGATGAGATGCTGCTTTAATCACTTGATTTAAAAGTGCAACCTGCCGGGCTCAGTGGCTCAGTCTGTAATCCTGCGCCTTGGGAGGCTGAGGTGAGTAGATTGTCTGAGCCCGCGGGTTCAAGACTCTCCTGGGCGACTTGGCGAGCCCTCATCTCTACAATAAATCAAAAATCAGCTGGGCGTGGTAGCGTGCACCTGTAGTTCCAGCTACTTGGAAGGCTGAGGCGGAAGGATCGCCGGAGCCCAGCAGGTCGAGGCTGTGGCCGCTTCTGGCCACTGCACTCCAGTCTGGGCAACAGAGTGAGACTCCGACTCAAAAAATAAAAATAAAAAAAAAGTGTAACCTACCTTGAAATGCCTTAAAAACAAGATATGGGCTTTCAGTATTAGGGTCTGGGGAAGGGGTATAGCAGGAGCCATGTCTAGCCTTAAAGGTCGTAAGAAGAAGCCAGTGAAGCAGCCCAAGAAGTGGGCCAAAGAGATGGATGAGGAAGATGAGGTTTTCAAGCAGAACAAAAAGAAGAGTACAAGAAACTTGAGGAACTAAAAGTGAAGGCCTTGGGGAGGGCTCCTTGGCCACAAGCAGAATTTTAATAGCCGACAAAAAGTATGCTATATATTATGCCTGGTCCTTGATTCTATTCCTATTTAAACAACTGGATTTTCTGCCAAAACATCTATTACCACTTGTAGTTAAAATGAAGTGTTGTCTTGAATCCTGTTGTACATTTAAGAGTAAACTTTTGTTAAAACAAAACAAAGAAACCCTAAACTAAAACGAAAAGCAAGCAAAAAATACCAAAATGTACTGGTAGACAGACATGTGATAAAGTATAGCAAAATATTAGGTGGTAGAGATAAAAAATTATAAAAGATTAAAAAAAAAAGAATGTAGGTGGTATATATGGGTGTTTACTATAAAATCTTTAACTATGTTGCATATTTGAAAAATTTTTTAAATGTTAGAGGTAAAAACTGAAACAGGTCTTTGGTATTTCCCATCTCTCCTATCATGTTCTATTGATTTTTGTCCATATCACTGATCACTTTTATTTCCATAGCTTCACTGCGATAATTCACATACTACATAATTTACCCATGTAAAGTATACAATTTAACAATTAAGTTTTTTGGTATATGAAATATTATCTTTAATTGAGATAAAAATATATATCACAAAATTTGCCATTTTAACATTTAAGTGTACAATTCAGCAGCATTAACATTTATAATTTATCATCTACTAACATAATATATTTTATTTATTTATTTATGAGTCGGGGTCTCATTCTGTCACCTAGGCTGGAGTGCAGTGGCACAATCATGGATCACTGCAGCCTTGACCTCCTGGGCTAAGGTGATCCTTCTACCTCAGCTTCCCAAGTGGATGAGACTAATAGGTGCAGCCACCAAGTCTGGCTAATTTTTAAAATTTTTTTGTAGAGATGAGTCTCACTATGTTGCCCAAGTTGGCAACTCCTGGCCTCAAGCAATTCTCCTCTCTTGGCCTTCTGAGTTATTGGGATTATAAATGTGAGCCACCATACCCAGTCTATTAAAATAATAAACATTTTAGAAAATAGAAAACTAAAAATACAAAGAATTGTATCAAGATACATACGGTTCAGCAAGCATCAATGGCAATGCATTTTCTTGTATCTTGGAAGGACGGTTGAAACCCATGGCATAGACACCTTGAAGAAGCTGCGGTTTCCTAGAAAAATGGTAATGATGAAAGCCACAAGAGCCTCTTTGGTTGAGGAAAGTAGCAAAATATATACAGCCTATTTTTCTCTTTTTTATTGTTACATACAGTTCATACCTAACAATCATTGAGTTGTATTGAACTGAATACAATGTGTGTGTGCAACTAAGTTTTTTTTTTTTTTTTTGAGTTGGAGTCTCACTCTGTCACCCAGGATGGAGTGCCATGGCACACTCATGGCCACCCCAGTGGATCCTTCTGTCTCAGCCTTCCAAGTAGCCGGAACTAAAGGTTTGTGTGTTACCATGTCTGGCTAATTTTTTATTTATTGTAGAGATGAGGCCTTATCAAGCTACCAGGGCTGGTCTCGAACCCATGGGCTCAGGCAATCCGCTCACCTTGGCCTCCCAAAGTGCTGGGATTATAGGCTAAGCCACCGAGCCCTGCCTGCAGCTAAATTTTTTTTTGAGTTGGAGTCTCACACCATCGCCCCGACTGGAGTACAGTGGCATGCTCCCGGTCACCACAGCCTCGACCTGCTGGGCTCCAGCAACCCTTCTGCCTCAGTCTTCCAAGTAGCCAGAACTAAAGGCGTGCGTGTTACCACGTCTGGCTAATTTTTGATTTATTGTAGCAATGAGGTCTTGCCAAGTTGCCTGGGTAGGTCTTGACCCGTTGGCGCAGGCAATCTACTCACCTCAGCCTCCCAAACCGCTGGGATTACAGGCTGAGCCACCAAGCCCAGCCTGCAGCTAAATTTTTTATAGATCACCCAGAAATTTTACTTAATATCCCAAAGCAGCTAAATTCTTTTATTCTTTATGTAAGCTAAAAATGTTCTGCTGTGAATTAAAAAAAAGGTTAACAGGCCAAGGACCTTGATCTAAACACAAAGTAGAGAGTCAGAAACTGAACAAATACTCACAGCCGAAGCTCTTCGAAAGACTTTACTGAGTAGAGGGGGGAGTTTGGATCCCGCTGCAGGACTTCCACTTGGTTTGTGTTATCCACAAGATTGCTTCGGATCAGTTTGTTGAGTAAGGACTGGGCAGCTCTGTCCTCTGATAGGAAAAGTAAACAAAGTTGTTTAAACGTACATGAAGGCCAGGCATAGCAGCTCATGCCTGTAATTCCAGCACTTTGAGAGGTGGAAGCAAGAGGATTGCCTGAGCCTAGGGGTTCAAGACCAGCCTGGGTAACTTGGCGAGACCTCATCTCTACAATATATAAAAAAATTAGCTGGGCATGGTAGCGTGCACCTGTAGTTCTGGCTACTTGGAAGGCTGAGGCGGAAGGATCGCCTAAGTCCAGCAGGTTGACGCTGGGGTGGCTGTGAGCATGCCACTGCACTCCAGCCTGGGCAACAGAGTAAGAATCTGACTAAAAAAAACAAAACAAAAAACAAACAGACCAAAAAACCCAACAACAACAAATCAATTTTCTTAGAATGTAGAAACTTGTTTATATAGCTCTAAGGCTGTTACCTTTCTCTTCTTCATCTGTCTTCTCTGCATTAGCACTGGTCTTGACAACAGCACCTTTATCAGACACAAAGTGGCCGTCATTTAAAATCACATCCCCTACCCAACTGCTGGGACAATTCAAATTCTATGACACTACAAATGTTAAGGCCTGGGGAGTAAAAAATAAATGAGGAAACAAAGCCACTTATAAAAATGTGATATTGCCACTAAATAAACAAAGGCATGAAACACTGTTGCTTATATTTCAATTCCTTCCTTGTCCAGGTCTCCTCTCCTCACCCTACCTCAAAATACTAACATTTACTTCCCTCATATAATCAGTATTACTGAAATATTATAGAAAAATGATCACAGCAGTGATCAGAAACCACCTTGATGCTCAACAAAATATCTATGCAAATCATTTTATCAATATGTGAACACAATGCCATTAAAATTATGATCAATATAAATTTATAGTTAAACAATGTTGTAGTTATGTAATAGTATATAGAAAAGGACTGTAAGTGAATTCAGAGAAAGGTAAATGTTATATCTCTCCCAAGAATGTTAAAATATGGAAATCTTAAATTGCCTTTAGAATAATTAGAATAGGTAAACTCTCAGGTTGCTCTTACTCTGTCTATCTTATCCCCAACTGAAGAACATTTAAAAAAACAAATAGTCTTTGTCAGTATAATCCCATGCCTAGTAATTTAATAATCTATAAACCAATTAGGTATCCTCAGTCTTACATTAAAAACACTTTGGTCATACAATCCAGTTTGTTGATTTCCAAATCAAACAACTTCCGGTACCTGCCAGTACCCTGCCTGGTACAAATACAACATTTTCCCAGACAGTTGTTATGTCAGAAATACTAAATGAAATCACATTTGTTTTCACACTAGCTTTTAGTTACTTACCATTGGCATCTGGTTTGATTTTCTCTTCCTTAAGATGCAAGTTGCTCAACTAAATGGAGAATATGGGGGAGGGGGGAAAGTGTCATGAAAATCACTTAAAAGATTTTGAATCAATAGAGCCTCCCTAATGAAGCTGGGGAAAAAAGAGTCACTCTTAAGGTGTATTCATTAGGACTGATTCACTAGGTCGTTCTGTTTTGTTTACTAAACATTTGAATGAGAACAAAATTTCCCATAAATACAATAGTAGAAAAAATTATTATACAACTCAAAATTCATACTTTCTATTTACAATTCTGAGAGAGAACTGTAAATTGTGAGTTTGCTTAATGCCCTGATTAAAACTCTCTCACTGAAATATCATTGAAGTTTCATTCTCTCATATTCCAAACAAAAAGAAATTTAAAGAGATTTTGGAAAATGCAGTCACACTTCAAAAGAGAAGACTGAGTAGGGATGCTGCAGTGAAAAGCATGTGAGGGCAGGACATGCTGCAGGACATGTTTCAGTCACACAACCACAGCATGCTGATATGCAGCCTCAGTATTCAAGTCGCCCTTTGCTGGGTTTCTAATATTTTAATTGGGAACACACTGTGTAATCAAAGAACCTGCCAGGCTGAGGCGGGAATAGAAAAGGAAGAGGCATATCAGAGCGACATTTCAAATAAAGAATTAAGACTTTGGGCTGGGCTCATGGCTCAGCCTGTAATCCCAACTCTTTGGGAGGCCAAGGCAAGTAGATTGCCTGAGCCCGTGGGTTCGAGACCAGCCTGGGCAACCTGGTGAGACCTCGTCTCTACAATTAAAAAAAGAAAAAAATAGCCGGGCGTGATAGCACGCACCTGAAGTTCTGGCTACTTGGAAGGCTGAGGTGGAAGGATCGCCGGAGCCCAGCAGGTCAATGCTAGGGTGGTCATGAGTGTGTCACTGCACTCCAGCCTGGGAAACGGAGTGAGACTCTGACTCAAAAAAAAGAATGAAGACTTTGATCAAATACTGTAAATTAGGGATATCCTGGCAGGACTCACCTCCCCTATTAGAATGCAAATAACCTTAATGACAGGGGATATCTCTATTTTTAATTCATCTTTGGTTCTAGTGCAAAAGCAAAGCAGGTGCTCTACTCATAACAAATTTCTATTAAAAAAAATTTTTTTTTGAGATGTCAGCCACTGCACCCAGCCAAAAAAAATTTTTTAAGGAGTCAAAAAGGACTCACTGGTCTCAGATCCCAGTGCAGGAATTAGACAAATGGAAAGTTCAACATGAGGAAGTAGCTGTTTGTGCTAAAGTTGACCTCAATCATAAACAATTAAATGGGGTCTAAGACATGATCTAATAAAGGGTAAAAGAATAAAAATCACAACAATCAAATGATTGTTTCTTAAAGAATCACTAGGTTCTTTATGTCTTGGAAATTCATTTCTGTCATCCCTCTAAGTCCAAGAACAGGGGAAAGAGGAAGGAGGGTGGGGAGGGAGAACGAAAAACTGTTGTCTTAATGAGTGGCTAGCTAAAAATGAAGCCACCCCACTTCTATTCTTGGAGACTGATTGTAAGTTTCTGGTATCTGTCTGCTTTCATGGAGGGAAGAAGAAGGGGACTGCACTGGAGAAACTGGCAAAAAAAGGGAAGTGAACAAAAAAGAAATCATTCAATTTGAGAAAGCTTTCTCAAAGGGAAATCATCATAAAGCAGTAAAAATCTTTTATTAATTCTGAAGGATAGAGAACACACTAACATAATAAATATGAAGCCACCAGCACAGTGTATGAAGTATAGAAGGTGTCAAAGCTGGGTGTGGTGGTTCACACCTGTAATCCCAGCACTTTGGGAGGCTGAGGCAGGAGGATTCCTTGAGCCCAGGAGTTTGAGATCAGCCTGGGCAACAAAGTGAGACCTCATCTCTACAAAAATAAAAAATAAAAACAATTAGCTGGGCGTGATGGTGTGTGCCTGTTGTTCCAGCTACTTGGGAGACTGAGGTGGGAGGAATGCTTCAGTCCAGGAGGACTACTTCAGCCCAGGAGTTCTAGGCTGCAATGAGCTGTGACTATGCCACTGTACTCCAGTCAGGGCAAGAAAGACCCCAACTCAAAAATATACACACACTCAAACACACACATATACAGTAGGTGTTCAACACATTCCCATTTAAGTCTAGTACTCAGGGCTGTTAAAAGACTGAGGAACAGGCTGGGTGCGGTGACTCACACCTGTAATCCCAGCACTTTGCGAGGCAGAGGCAAGAGGATCACTTCAACCTAGCAGGTTGAGGATGCAGGTGAGCATGCCACTGCATTCCAGCCTGGGCGAGAGACTCTTACTTAAAAAAAAAAAAAAAAAGACAGAAGGACAGACAGAATGACTGACTTATTGGCAATTATTTATAGGAGTAATGCTAACAGTACTCCTATGGTGATAATTATAATTACTACTTAAATAACAGGGCTGAAGTATAAATGAATTGATGAGGTACAAATGGAGTATGAGTTACAAATATTTTTGTATGGCTGGGCTGGGTGGCTCAGCCTATAATCCCAGCACTTTGGGAGGCTGAAGCGAGTAAAGTGCCTGAGCCTGCGGGTTTGAGACCTACCCGGGCAACTTGGCGAGACTTCATCTCTACAATAAATCAAAAATTAGACAGGCGTGGTAGCGCGCGCCTGTAGTTCCGACTACTTGGAAGGCTGAGGCGGAAGGATCGCCAGAGCCCAGTAGGTCAAGACTGCAGTGGCAAGGAGTGTGCCACTGCACTCCAGTCTGGGCAACAGAGTGAGACTCCAACTCAAAAAAAAA